CCAATATTTTGGTGTGTTCATATTAGCCCCGGTTGACCCTACATGCATTGGTCATGTCATTTAGCAAAACATACAGTTTCTTGACTTAAATAAGAAATAATAACTGTTCTTTTTTTTACACTAAGGATACCTATGATCAAACAAGTTTGATCATTTGTATAAATTATTTAGCAGTATTTGTATAAATGTCACAAAACCTGGTAGGCCTAAATTATGATTTGCTGTTAGGTGCAATATTGTGAGGTTAGCTAAAACTAACCTCTTTTGCAATTTGGTCGAGTGCCTGATCCTCGAGCGCCGAATGTTTTGAGCCATTCCTCTCGCGGCGCCGGCCTCCAGCATTGTCCATGATGGCTCGTGTCAATGACTCGCATTCCACCGAGTATCCATCTGACAAACACATTAAGAGGTTAGAGCCAAAATCACAATATTGGTGAAACATTTTAAAGAAATTGAAATCCATGGTGATGGTTTTAGGTGTCAAGCGTGTCGTCAGTTGTATTTATAATAATACAACTGACGAAGCAGTTGATGCCTAAAGCCTTCACCATGGATTTCAACGACACTGGCCGCCAAAGCCTACGCATGAATATTTTAAAGAAATGTTTAGACGAGGGGTCACAAAATCTTTGTTTTGAAAGAGCTGGGAAAGTGAAAGAGGATTAGATATTTGTTAAGTACCTAGGCTATATTTGTTGATATGTATGTTAAATAGTAGCAGTATTTGTATAAATGTCACAAAACCTGGTAGGCCTAAATTATGATTTGCTGTTAGGTGCAATATTGTTAGGCTAATAAATTATCTAATTGCCTAAAATCATAGCCTTCCCTGTTGAAACAAGGACACAGTGTTGTTGTCTGGCATTATCGTGCTAGCCGACCTGCTGCTGTGGTAATAACAAAAGTGTATACGGGTACATTGAGCAGAAGCTCCATTATAATTTAGTGTGCAAGGGCTCTTTTGGTGCCGGGATAGCGGCATTCACACTTTTGTCTCACTACAGCCTTGTATTAGAGGAAGTGAGCTACTTCCGAGTAGTAGCATTTTAAATTGGCCTATAATTAATTTACAGAATTAGGCAAGTTTAACTAGGCCTATATGTTTATTTATTTACGATTAGCCTATAGCGCTAGACGAATAAATATAATTACATTTCATTTCAACTTACTGTAGCCTAAAGGTTTATAACAGGATTTTGGTTATCTGTCTATTTATTCATTAGGCCTATGCGGTAAGTAACTTAGGCCTAGATATGCCTATATTAATTACCGAAGGTGACAGTCAACACAGGTTCTTACTGTACTGTACGTCAAATATGTACCCACACTGGATTGAATGACAAAATTCAAAAGCGGGATAAAATGGTATTTTCTCGACCAAGTAAGTGGAATTAACTTATTGTTTTGGTAGTTTGGATACACTGCTAGGGATCCTTCAGATGTTATGTAGGCCTTTGGCAGGGACCCATGCAGAGTGATTAGCCTATGTTACAGTAGCCTTGCAAACAGCTTAGGCCTACTGGCGTAACATTTATTTGTTAACCAGCATTTTAACCTAGACCAGTAGTGTTGCCTACCAGCTGCATCAACTAAGTAGGCCTATGTCTTAACTTATGATCATCTTATCTAAAAGAGTTGCCGGGTGCAGTTTCTTAACCGGGCTACGGTAATATCGATAGCCTATAGGTAACTAACCAAACTTGCTGATATGATTAAATCGAATAAATTTGATAGTTTACAAATCAATTCGATAGTTTCAATCGATATTAGCTTAGCCCAGTTAAGAAACTGTACTGAATCTAAAGGGTTAGGCCTAACTGCTATAAATGTAAAGGGTACTGGTATCTTTCTTGATATTAAGTTACCTCAAAATATTGAGGGTAGTCTGTTACTGTTCTTAGACGGAAGGCCATACTTTATAACCAAGCTAACCTAATTTCAAGCTTAAGAGGGTCACAGTTCAACCTAAACATTTTAGGTTATACAGACTGAGATGACTAAACAGTTTTTAGGGCTGCACTTTAGTATCTGTCCTACACTCATTCAAATGAAAAATTTGTAAATCCCTTCAATTGGGTTTAGTTTTAAAACAATTTCTCAAGTAAATAACTTAGATAATAATATGCCTAGGATGATGATAAATAAAATGAAAGACGTTTAGAAAGTAGGATTGAGTGAACTTGTCCTTTTCTAAAGGTTAACAAGTAAAAGGCATGTAACTTTCCTCCCCATTGCTGGTATCTTATCACACTAACCTTATTATTAGACGAGACTTACTATAAATAGAACTAATTATTTTTTAAATAAGTCTAGGACATTGGCCAAAGTAATGAGCCAATTGCCAAAGGCGCACCTTGCTTACTTGAGTGATCTTTCTCCTTCGATTCACGTAAAATAAAGCTAACAAATTAAAAACAATTGTTCCGAGTAAATATTTTTCAACTTAAAATTCATTTCGCACAGAAAATAAAACACCTAAAATTTGACAAAAAACATTAATTACGACCGTTTATCACATGTGACATTCCAAGTTTATGACAACTAACGCCATCAAACTCACCGTGGTCGTTTTCGGAACTACTTGACCACTGCCTGCCTGATAGACCACGGCCACCTTTTACTCTTCCTTCTTCCCAGTTTTTACTTTCTCCCCCTATACCATAGTATATGGAGAAAGTATTGTTTTCGTCAAAATTTTTGAGTTTGAGTTTTGAGTGGATATATTCGTTTTGGGTCCCCCTGGACCCAAAAAAGTGGTTTTCGAAGTGATGTCTGTGTGTGTGTGTGTGTGTGTGTCTGTGTGTCTGTGTGTCTGTGTGTCTGGATGTGTACAGAGCTAGAGACTACACCTGTGGTCCGATTTCGATGAAATTTGGTATGTAGGTTCTAATCCATGGTATCTCCAGGCGTTTTTTTCATTTTTTTGAAATTTTGATTTTTAATGGGGATTTTCCCATAAAAACCCATAAAAAACCGGAAAAATCGTATTTTCTCAAAAATGGCCCGAACGATTTTGATAAAAATTTAGTATGTTGTAGCCCTTTAAATTCTGAACAAAATAGTACAAATCCTATTTCTGTAAAAATTACGGTTCAAAAGTTATGGTAAATTATGTTATTTTCCCATAATAACCCTATAAAATAACGAAAAATAGGATTTTAGACAAAAAAATCTGTTTTTATTTAACATAGTAGGTTATGGTCCTTACAATTTTGATAGTTTTTCTCATTTCTTAGAAATTTTTATTTTTAATGGGTATTTTACCATAAAACCCCATAAAATGACGGAAAAAAAAAGATTTTCCCAAAAATGGCCTGAACGATTTCGATAAAAATTTAGTATGTTATAGTCCTTTATATTCTGAACAAAATGGTACAAATCCCATCTCTGTAAAAATTACGGTTCAAAAGTTATTGTAAATTATGTTATTTTCCCATAAAACCCCATAAAATAACGGAAAATCATATTTTCCCAATATTGGCTCGAACGATTTTGATAACAATTTAGTATGTTATAGTCCTTTAAATTCTGAAGAAAATCTTACAAATCCCATTTCCGTATATTTACTCTCACCGCTTACACATGATAAAGGTTTTTGACAAACTTATGGGAGAAAGTATGTGTCAGAAAGCTGATACCGTTTATTATTTTATTGGAATAGAGATAACAGTCATGAATCATGATTATGAAAGAACTTTCTCTTTTTCTACTGAGCTTTGGTTTTGGCTTTGGCCAGTAGTGGAATATTTAATTAATTATCGAACACAATGCAAATCCGAAATAAAACATAACCAACTTTGGCAACTTATATTTTAATTATGATTGCCTCAAAAATTCGTTAGTTTTTATTTAGTACAATTTTAATAAATCTATTAAAAACTGTGGGATGTTTTTACCTTAATTAAGTTACTCCTGTAAGAATAATTAATTGTCCAATTTTCACGCGCAAAAAATATAAAAATAAAAATGTATAGGGACTACAATAAAATTTAATAGATTAAATAAATAAAGTTGAAAACAAGAAAAAAATGTAATATTATTTACAGTAGCTCTAATCAACTGAGTTTGATGTGAAATTTAATGAAATACAATTCGATATCTTTGTGCCGTCTTATCAAAAGCAGACGACACAGAGATGCTTACAAAAATAGCCGTTTGGAGCAGCACAAGACAATGACCGCAGCCACCAAAATAACATTGACCGATATAATAACAAACGAACTACTTGATACCTTGATACCTAATTCTAATTAATGACAAAAATATTATTAACTTGGAGTGGAAATTGCTTGTGTTTTGTGTGGCACTCGTAAACTTCTTTGGCTGTATTAGTTTTTTGCTCCTTATTAACTATTCCCGAAAATTAAAGTATAGAGAAAAATCCAGTCCCAGTGTGTCCATCATCAATTAAATCACTGATTTTTTTAGTACAGTACCTAGGCCTCCCAATAAGTTAGTATTTAATTTGCAATACAAATGCCAAATTTGAGTACAGGGAACTAATGGTTTCCAAAGAGGTAGTGACTTCATTTGTTAGTGGGTGTTTTCCCGGAAATTTTATTCTTGAAAGAAACTAGAAAGTTGATTTCCCTACAAAATCTTGACACATTCATAAATTCCAAAGACACTTCTATAAAAACTACAATGGAAAGTTGTCATTAAAAATTTATTTTGCAATGGGGTTATTGCTGTTTTGGACGCCCGATTAATCTAAAACGATCTAAAAAAACTCGTCTAAAACTGTTCTTTGAATTGAAACACTACTATGCCTAGCCTGATTTGTAAAGCATGGAGGATGGGATGGGAACTATATATACCCCGGACTCCAGTATAATTGGCGATTCATGTTCCTTGGCGTTTCATGTTCCTTATGGTGATCGTTCCAGTACAAAAAATGTACAACCACTGATTATAACAATCTAGTTTTATGTGCAATGCACACAAAAAAATGTATACCTAAATATAAAAATGGGAGAAAAAATCCACTTTTTAATGAAAAATTATTTATTTTTAGAAGCAGAAAATAAACCCGCCGCAAGAAGGTAGATTGAAATTCCTTTTTTAATATTATTCATTATTGTTGACATCACTGGCAACAGTGGCAACGTAGATTACAGGGTTGCGTTCAATTAAGTCGATATCCTTTTCCAAATCCTTCAGCTGTTTTTCAAGCTGTGTTTTCCTTTTTATCTTTGGCACTGTGTCAGTCACCATTGGTAGAAGTTGGAACTCTTTCTGTAGCTCTTCCCAGTTCTTTTTTAATCCCTGGAAACATAAGAATTATGTATGATCATGTTCCAACCATTATGGCCATGCCAAGCTGTGAAACCATGGTCTGAGTGTTATTTCTGTAGAAGTGTTAAACCTAACATAATCTATTTTTTTTATTATGCTAATGCAATTATTTTGTTAATCTTTTAGCTGAATAAACGAATTTGAATTATCTCTGCAACTAAAAAAATATCATATTACTATTTTTAATTATTGGACACTAGCCTTTATTACCCATGCTTCGCAACAAAAATGGTAACCGGAATAGAGTAATGTGGTCCTTATAGATCATCTCCGCTTTTGTTATTTCATTTAGTCATCTCAACAAATAATTGCCGTAGGATACCACTATAGCGTCCAGTGAGTTGGACTCTCTTGTGGTATTAGGAGTAATTCCTCTACCCTCTCAACACGCCATCCTAATTGGTACAACCTTTGCCTGACAAAGTGTATACTCTAGTACCAGATACACATAAGGTTACACTTATACAAAAATTAGAATATTTCTCTGTCGTAGTCACTATTTTTAACTGAGGAAGATTTTGCTTGGTTAAAAATGCTTCCAGGGACTTGGAAATATTCTGAATTTTTGTGTAGAGAACAAAGTGTTGTGTTTTTTGTTTCAGACTGGACTAATTGCCTTTTGGGTAAACCCAGCTGATCCTCACCAAAAATTGTAAAAATGATTTATGCAGTTATTTGTAATTTCTACCTGTAACATTTCTTCTCTTTCCTCTTCAGTGACATATCTCAGAGGTGGTTTAGTCTTCTTTTCTTCCTTTTCCTCCTTATCTCTCTGGGTAAGAGATCCACCTTTCCTGAGGTATTTTGGAACTTTCCCAAACTCCTGGAAATACACAACTTGTGTTAGTTTGTTTGTAACGAACACCTTTGCATTTGCATCTACCTGGACATTTATGTTTTAGGAGCAACTTCATAAGATATCAGATAGCAAATTGATATATTTTCTCCTGGTTGGAGTTTTGAATATCAAGATCAGTATACAGTAATGAATTAATTGTGTAAAACCGTGAAGAGAGAGAGAGAGAGACGGCCACGAAACTAATTGTATTCTAACGCAAAAATAAGTTAATGACGAACGTAGAATTAATTGAGAGGGATGTTCTTCAAAAAAATCAAACAGCAGTTGCTGAAAAAAAAGGTTTAATTTCCATAGTTGTAGGATCTAAATTATAACTAACATTTTTAAACCATAGTCATCATAACTGGATCTTTGTAAGCAAACTCTAGAAATAAATTAAACGTGAGACGGCAAAACCCAAAAGGAAATTGCATTTTAGTTATGCTTTCAAATTATTCCGCTAGATTATAAGCTTGAAAATGACACATTGTAAAGATAGGTTTAGTAGGAAGGCTGGAAAAGGAATGTTACAGATTTAACCGTGTATTTTAGTATGTAAGATTCTGGTAAAGAAACAGGTGATTTGATCAGTAACAAACAACACAGATAACTCACTCTATTCAATACTCACCCTATACAGTATACATACACAAAGTACAATGTTGTCATAGTGAAGTGGTAAGAGGTAATGAAGAGGTAATGAATAACTCGTAAATTAAACTAAAATTGTCATTGCTAAATTTTTAGAATATTTCTAATCTCACAGGAACATGAGGATATATTTCTCAATTCTATCAGATTGACCCTTGCAAGACAAAGTGTACTTTATGAAAATGTTATGTACTTAAGTTACACACCTTAGCCTTGCTAAGATACATTTCTGTGAAGAGCTATAGATGATTACCTTGCTGTATATGTACTTGGGCTGTAGTCCCGATGGTTCTAAAGACTGCGTGTGGCCGGTCCGAGTGTCTACAATCTGTGGGACTGGTTGTTTAGGCACAGCGCGCACCACTCTCACTATGTTGTCTCTTCTAAAATTCTTCTCTTCTTTTTTATCCGTTTCTTTTTGGCTCATCCGATTTGGCAGTCCAGGCTTTGGCTCTCCAACGTATTTATGCTTTTCTGCAAACATGGACAGTAATTCTTACTCTTTTTAATGTAGTCATCTAACACACCATGGGGATCTGCGCTGCAACGCTTTGTTGAATCTCAGAAACTGGTTAAGTTTAGACATCTCATGAATTAGCTAAGTCTACTAGTTAGATCTTCTCTAAATGGACGGTTTGTTTCTTGATGAAATGCCAGATTGCTGGAATTAGATCATCAAGTTTTTCTTCTTTACAACTTACTTACTATTCCTCACTACTTACCTCTTAATTCACTATCTTACTACTTACTAGTAGTACGCTTATTCTGCACGTAACAGGATGAGTGAACATGAGCGCAATAATGAAAGAGTTTACCCACACCTAGCACACTTACCGGTGTCACTGGTGTACACAATAATGTTATTTGTATGGGCAAATCGACCCATGAGTCGGGGCAAATAATGGTGAGTCGGTGACTCAAGTCGGTAGCGTCACGCGAACTTCGGGCCCAAGGCAGCGATGTCGTGAGTTCGGATCCTGGTCACTGCCACTAAATTTTATCAGTACAGTTCACCTTTGTACTATACCGGCTCACCAATTGCTTTGCTGTAAACGATCCACGCACGGGCGAGGTTAAAAGAGGCTGGACCAACCTCTTAAAAAAACCAAATCTCAGTCAACAACAATCCTAACTTCTCGTCCATTAATTAACCAAAGTCATTGGTAATATACGTAACGTATTTCCTGTTTCCCTCTCTTCTCATAGCATTTTAATATTGCAGATACGTTAATCTAACTGTCACAAAGAGTTCCCACACTCTGGACTGTTCACCTTGACTACTTCCTTTACCACTTCCTACGTCGTGGACCTGTTTCCCTCTCTTCTCATAGCATTTTATTATTGCTGATACATTAATCTAACTGTCACAAAGGGTTCCCACACTCCGGACTCCTCGCCTCGACTACTCCCTTCGCCACTTCCTACGTCGTGGACCTGTTTCCCTCCCTTCCTATAGCATTTTTAGAATTGCAGATACTGTACATTATTCTAATTATCAAAAATGGTTTCTACACTCCGGAATGCTCGCCTTAACTATTTCCTTCACCACTTCCTACGTCGTAGACCTGTTTCCCTCCCCTCCTATAGCATTTTATAATTTCAAATAGATTAATTTAACTTTCACAAAGGGTTCCCACACTCCGGACTGTTCACCTTGACTACATCCTTCACCATTTCCTACGTCGTGGACCTATTTCCCTCCCTTCCTACAGCATTTTAGAATTTCAAATATATTAATTTAACTTTCACAAAGGGTTCCCACACTCCGGACTGCTCACCTTGACTACATCCTTCACCACTTCCTACGTCGTGGACCTGTTTCCCTCCCTTCCCATAGCATTTTAGAATTGCAGTTACATTGATCTAACTATCACAAAGGGTTTTTACACTCCAGAATGCTCGCCTCAACTACTTCCATTACCACTTCCTACGTCGTGGACCTGTTTCCCTCCCTTCCTATAGCATTTTAGTATTGCAGGTATATTAATCTAACAGTCACAAAGGGTTTCTACTCTCCGGACTGCACGCCTTAACTACTTCCATCACCGCTTCCTTCGTCGTGGACCTGTTTCCCTCCCTTCCCATAGCATTTTCAAATTGCAGTTACACTAATCTAACTGTCACAAAGGGTTTCTACACTCCAGGATGCTCACCTCGACTACTTCCATTACCACTTCCAACGTCGTGGACCTGTTTCCCTCCCTTCCTATAGCATTTTAGTATTGCAGGTATATTAATCTAACTGTCACAAAGGGTTTCTACACTCCGGACTGCTCGCCTTGACTACTTCCATCACCGCTTCCTACGTCATGGACCTGTTTCCCTCCCTTCCCATAGCACTTTAGAATTGCAGTTACACTGATCTAACTGCCACAAAGGGTTTCTAAACTCCAGAATGCTCGCCTCGACTACTTCCATTACCACTTCCTACGTCGTGGACCTGTTTCCCTCCCTTCCTATAGCATTTTAGTATTGCAGGTATATTAATCTAACTGTCACAAAGGGTTTCTACACTCCGGACTGCTCGCCTTGACTACTTCCATCACCGCTTCCGACGTCGTGGACCTGTTTCCTTCCCTTCCTATTGGAATTTAGAATTGCAGTTATATTAATCTAACTGCCACAAAGGGTTTCTACACTCCGGACTGCTCGCCTTGACTACTTCCTTTACCGCTTCTTACGTCGTGGACCTGTTTCCCTCCCTTCCCATAGCATTTTCAAATTGCAGTTACACTAATCTAACTGTCACAAAGGGTTTCTACACTCCAGGATGCTCACCTCGACTACTTCCATTACCACTTCCAACGTCGTGGACCTGTTTCCCTCCCTTCCTATAGCATTTTAGTATTGCAGGTATATTAATCTAACTGTCACAAAGGGTTTCTACTCTCCGGACTGCACGCCTTAACTACTTCCATCACCGCTTCCTTCGTCGTGGACCTGTTTCCCTCCCTTCCCATAGCATTTTCAAATTGCAGTTACACTAATCTAACTGTCACAAAGGGTTTCTACACTCCAGGATGCTCACCTCGACTACTTCCATTACCACTTCCAACGTCGTGGACCTGTTTCCCTCCCTTCCTATAGCATTTTAGTATTGCAGGTATATTAATCTAACTGTCACAAAGGGTTTCTACACTCCGGACTGCTCGCCTTGACTACTTCCATCACCGCTTCCTACGTCATGGACCTGTTTCCCTCCCTTCCCATAGCACTTTAGAATTGCAGTTACACTGATCTAACTGCCACAAAGGGTTTCTAAACTCCAGAATGCTCGCCTCGACTACTTCCATTACCACTTCCTACGTCGTGGACCTGTTTCCCTCCCTTCCTATAGCATTTTAGTATTGCAGGTATATTAATCTAACTGTCACAAAGGGTTTCTACACTCCGGACTGCTCGCCTTGACTACTTCCATCACCGCTTCCGACGTCGTGGACCTGTTTCCTTCCCTTCCTATTGGAATTTAGAATTGCAGTTATATTAATCTAACTGCCACAAAGGGTTTCTACACTCCGGACTGCTCGCCTTGACTACTTCCTTTACCGCTTCTTACGTCGTGGACCTGTTTCCCTCCCTTCCCATAGCATTTTCAAATTGCAGTTACACTAATCTAACTGTCACAAAGGGTTTCTACACTCCAGGATGCTCACCTTGACTACTTCCATTACCACTTCCAACGTCGTGGACCTGTTTCCCTCCTTTCCTATAGCATTTTAGTATTGCAGGTATATTAATCTAACTGTCACAAAGGGTTTCTACACTCCGGACTGCTCGCCTTGACTACTTCCATCACCGCTTCCTACGTCATGGACCTGTTTCCCTCCCTTCCCATAGGACCTAAGAATTGCAGTTACACTGATCTAACTGCCACAAAGGGTTTCTAAACTCCAGAATGCTCGCCTCGACTACTTCCATTAACACTTCCTACGTCGTGGACCTGTTTCCCTCCCTTCCTATAGCATTTTAGTATTGCAGGTATATTAATCTAACTGTCACAAAGGGTTTCTACACTCCGGACTGCTCGCCTTGATTACTTCCATCACCGCTTCCGACGTCGTGGACCTGTTTCCTTCCCTTCCTATTTGAATTTAGAATTGCAGTTATATTAATCTAACTGCCACAAAGGGTTTCTACACTCCAGAATGCTCGCCTCGACTACTTCCATTACCACTTCCTACGTCGTGGACCTGTTTCCCTCCCTTCCTATAGCATTTTAGTATTGCAGGTATATTAATCTAACTGTCACAAAGGGTTTCTACACTCCGGACTGCTCGCCTTGACTACTTCCATCACCGCTTCCGACGTCGTGGACCTGTTTCCTTCCCTTCCTATTGGAATTTAGAATTGCAGTTATATTAATCTAACTGCCACAAAGGGTTTCTACACTCCGGACTGCTCGCCTTGACTACTTCCTTTACCGCTTCATACGTCGTGGACCTGTTTCCATCCCTTCCTATAGCATTTTATTATGGTAGATACATTAATCTAACTGCCACAAAGGGTTCCTACACTCCGGAATGCTCGCCTTGACTACTTCCTTCACCACTTCCTAAGTGTCGTGAACCTGTTTCCCTCCCTTCCCATAGCATTTTTAGAATTGCAGATACATTATTCTAACTGTCATAAAGGCCCCCCACACTCCGCAGCGCTCGCCTTGACTACTTCCTTCTCTATTTCCTTCACTACTTCCTACATCGTGGACCTGTTTCCCTATCTTTCCATAGCATTTAAGTATTACAGATACGTTAATTTAACAGTCATAAAGGGTTTCCGTACTCCTTTCTTTTCACTGCTCACCACGGGGGAGCGAGCTGGCGTAGTGGTTATAGCGCGGGACTTCAGTCCCTGAGGTCCCGGGTTCGATCCCCGCCAAGTCACCAATGGATTTTATCTATGTGATAATGCCGCAACCCCTAGGTCTAGCCTGAAGTAATGTGAAAAACAATCCCAGGCTCGTGCCTAGCTTGAATATTTAATAGGTATTCAATGCCAACATTAAATTGAATAATGTAAAAAGCTACTTTGTTCTAAATACATACATACCTATATACTTTTAATTAAAAGGCGAAACTTTAATACTGAACATAAACGGGATATAACTGCCGACTAATATTGTTAAGTTCAATTTATTATTATGAAAGTTGTGAGATTTAGTTAGCTTAAATAACATTATTCTGAAAGCTGTGAAATTATAATGATATATATTCATAGACGCCAAACTGTTTACTCCATGAATGAAAGAGCTTAGAGTATAAGTCGTTCTCTCTGTCTTAAGTAGACAACAAAATTGTTGGTCGCAAAACGTAAACAAATAAAAAGAAGAAGAAGGTAGCTCCTAATGTTATTCTTATGGGACAAATTTAAAAATGTTTTTTAAGTATTTTATAATTACTACTGAGCGGAATCGTCTAGAATTTTAATGGTGTCTTTACACTGGTGTCATAACTATTTGTGCAAAATTTGAACGCTATAAGTGCAACGGTTCTTGAGTTTTAGGTGCGAACACACACACACACACACATACTCCAGCGGACAACTTTTCTCCGACTCCGCTATACACGATACATAGATTCGTTCACTTCGTTCACTCATCTATTACTCAGTTATTTCCTATGCTAACTAAATTTGTGGGACAAAAAAATGTCAACTTGTTGCTGAAAATCATACCTTTTTGGGAATTATTGGCTTAAAATTATAGCATTTCTATATAGATACCTCTTGTTAATCTCAGACATATTGGTTTTCTTTGGTGTATTTATTATCCATATATTTTTTAATGTGTTGTTCTTAATTAGAGGCGAAATATAATAGACAAGACTGATTATTTAAGTAAAAAAAATATTTTTTTCCTGATTACTGCAATAATATTAACATTGACAATTATTTTGTAGTAAAACTGTCTGTCCATCGAATTATCAATTTATAGAAGAATTAAGGGAAGTTTTTTTAGCATGTTTCTTAAAAATCTGAATATTAAATAGCTATTCGATATTTTGATCATCTAAAACCAATCATCAATGTATTAGTTACAGTTCCTTTATTCATTGAACCATCTACTAACTCTTACCTATTCATTGTCTGGTAATTTAGCTTTTATCAAGCCTTCTATTAACTCCTCAAGGTGTTAACTATAACTTACCAACCAATGGTCTCCTAACAATGCGAGTTTTCTTTTTCAAAAAATTTGTCGGAGGTTCAAGAGGGACTTCGGCATAACCAAAAGTCTTATGACAATCCTTAACCTTTCTTGCATCTTCACGGACTTTACTGCTGAATTTTGAGTGGTACATAGGAATTTTTTCTTCGACTGGAGGAGGATGGTAGATAAGATTACGGATGTCTTCATCCCTAGGTAAATCAGTGCTCGGTTTCTTGTCTTTCTGAAATGAAAAGAATAAGAGGAAATTATAAATTTATCATGGTTTTGTCGAAATCACAAACAAATTTCTTACTCTTGTTTATCGTGGAATTTTAAACTGGTAGCTATCTTACGATACAATAAATCTTTCAATTTTGTCTATTAGTATTGCGAAGTTCATTTTAATATGTGTGGTAAATTATTATATAGATAATGCATACCGGTAGACAATATTAAATAGTCTAATTGCATTCTGTGTTTTGGTTTAAATGAACTTAACTTTAATTTAACTTAACCAGCAATTGTTTAAACAAATTTTTCTACTTTGCTACCAAAGATCACCAAAATTGGACAATCTGTGAGGTCTTTTTAAAGCTAATTTTATGATGTAAATCCCATCGGGTTATCGACCAATATTTATATGTTTAAGGATATTTAGGCGAATAAAAATAATCTAACTCTAGAATAAAAATAAACAACATTAATAAAGGCTAAAAACGTGATGCCAAGTATTTTACTTACTAAGATTGCTTTTTCCCAAACAATATAAAAAGTGTAAACAAAAGCTAAGGTAGGATTTGGAATTCCACTTTCAATTGCACAAAAAGTATTTTAGCTTGAGACTTAAACTTACCATGTTTTAGAAAATTTTAAATTGTCAATTATATAAAAATAATGTTATTCTAAAAGCGGATTCTGGCTATGTCAAAATCTTAAACAATAAATTACTGACAGAGTATTTATAATTCAAGGTATACAAAATCAAAACTAACACATTTTGCCATATGTTTTAGAGGCAATTTTATGCCTAATTTAAATCACTGATTTAAATGCAGAATAATGTCACTGCTGATTTAAACATTTCTGTCAGACTTCTCAATACTCTTCAGCAAATTAGCAGTTCTTGCTTTGATTATAGATACATTTTACTTCATCATGAAATAGATGTCCCCTTTTAAATTGTAACAAGTCTACTCAAAGGCTTGAAATAAAAATATAAGTTATCAAATTTTCAATCACAAAATATAAAGCGAGCACTGTTTAAATCTATTTTTTTTTCAAAATGTTTGAGGTTGAGTTTTGGGTGGAAATAATATCAGTTTTCGGTACCCCTGAACCCAAAAAAGTGGTTTTTGAAGAGATGCCTGTGTATGTGAATGTGTAGGCCCACAGAGCTACAGACTAAACCTGTGGTCCGAATTTCACGCAATTTGGTATGTGAGACTAATACCATAGATTAAACATACTCCCTAAGGGAGTATGTTTAATCTATGCTAATACAGTACATAGTATCTCCAGGTATTTTATTATTTAAATATTGATCAATTAATGGAAAAGTTGGATTTTTTACAAAAACGAATAACGATTTGAACAATTTTGGATAAAATTTATTATGTTGAAATCCTTTCAACTGTAAACAAAATGGTACAACCCCCAATGTTGTAAAAATTGAGGTTCAAAAGTTACTGTAACCTTTGTGAACTTCCCCATAAAATATAGTTACTCCCGTCTCACCACTTGCCCATAATATGTTGTTGGGCTGCTAATCGGAGAAATGATGAGTAAGATTTCTGATTCCTTTTGTTTATTCCTAACAGCTATGATTTTAACATGGGGATGGATTGTCTTTCATTCTGGCAAATACTGATACTCAAAATAAGTAGCTAGTTCCAGGATATAGTAGGTAGTGTGCTTAAGATCCTTTGAGTGGCTATCTTTTTATTAAAATACAAATATCAATTGTACTAAATTTTCATAAATATAAAAATGTATGTACTGTGCACCATTAACATTTTAAAATTCCAATACATTACAGTAAGTATAATAAAATAATACAGTAATATAAAAAAATACTGTCTTTATATTCATACTTATGAATAGATAAATATGAATTGACAGAAATTGAATTTACTAAGGTGTTTACCTACCTCATCAACACACATGGCTCTCCTTTATAAAATTTAGATTCGTGAATATAACTGAACAATTTCACAATGTTATTCTGTAATTCACAATTACACAACTTCACTAGGTCGATCCAGCAATTATTTTAATATCTATAAGAATGAATTCACACACACAAGCCACTCGATGTAAGTGTATCCACTTAGAAACAGCTGCACAACAATCGGCCGTTGCTTAGCAACGCTTGATGGATCCATGCCTCTTCCAAAACACTCTTTTGCCACTGCCACCTCTATTTCTAGACACCTCCGTGTTTGACTTTCTTTCTTCATCTTTTCGTGTCACGACACATTTTTATTTCTCTCTGACAATTTAAAAGTTTTCATTTCCCTTTCCTTTTGCATGTTTAAATATTGAGGCCATGCTCTAGGTGTGTTATTTATACTGTATAAGTCAGGTGTGCCGATTCCCACAAAATATAGGTACATAATATTGTTATTGTAAATTCCTTAACTATATACTAGTTGTTTTAGTGATACTCACAGCAGTGAATAGTTAATTACGATACGATAGTAACGCTTTAAAAATGTACCCTCATTGGAAACAAATTTTTAATTTAGTTCCATAATATATGTGCTTATGTTGTAAAATTTACTATTTATCCAACTTATATAGAGTCAATTCGAGAAGAAATTATATTGAAATTTGAATCATTTTAACTGAAGTAAGTAACAATTTTTTTTTTAAACAACATCAGTATACTTGTCTCAACTATCATTCATATATTAGAAAGTAGAAACTGAAGAAATAATAATTTACATGGCATTTAGCAAAACATTGTTTATACATCAAAGCACTTTATTAAAAGTTGTTTTTTAGTTTGTTATCATATCTTAGTCACTTGCTGTCTCAGGGAACAAGAAAATTATGACATAAAACAGATTTAAAAATATGTCATTAAGGATCCAAAAGATGCCCTAATGTCCTGATGCCCTGACAAAAGGATATTCGTCAAATAAGGGGAAAACATACTGTAAGGCTGAAGTTACCTACAATCTTTCTGCAGCAAAATGATTGCAGATAGTTAGTAAATTTTCTATCTGCCTTAGTATGGTATTACTTTGGCACGGTACATATTCTGAATAATACTACACATATACAATAAAAACCTGAAGAATTTGATTTTCATAAAGTATTTTGTTTCAATAAAAATTCAGTACTGGTACTGTTAGTTAAAAAATAAATTATTTTAATGTAATAAAAAGTATAGTATGTTAAATTACAATGTAGTACTGTATTTTAATTGGTTAACATTTTATTTAATTTTAAGTTATATTTTGGCTTGTATATACAAGTTTGTATATTGTTTCTGTATTGTAGGGTAAAAAATGGATAACAAATCATAATCACCTTTCTGTATTGTATTTCTTATAAATAAAGTAAAAAATATATAACCTAACAATGTATGTACAAATATCACTTTGGAATGAAAACTCAGACTTCAGTAAAACTACATTTCTAGTCTTATAAATAATAAATAAATAAATGATTATAGACAACATTATGAAAAATATGAATGGTCCTAACTTTTAGTTTTGACTATATCAATCAAATTAAGTTACATGTTGATCTAATTCATCTAATGATTTAGATACTAACTAAAGCTTTGAGGTGGATTTTTTGTTTGATTTTCAAGACTACATACTTTTTTGTGTTATATAAAAATATTTTTAAATTGTAAAGTTCATACGCCAATTCGGTTTGTTCAGGCTCATTCATTTGCCCTATCCCAATCTTCTTTGATCATATCACTCGCTTTTTCTGCTATCATTACAACAATCGCGTTGGGATGCGACGCAGGAATTTCTGGGAAGATGGACGCATCGACAACCCTAAGGCGAGAAACGTTATGAACTCTGAGTCTAGAGTCCAAACAATTCTTCGGCCCCATTGCGACAGTTCCAGATTGGTGGTAAATGGTGAAGCTCAAGTGCCTCGCATGACACTTCCAATACTCATCGCTGTCCATCTTCAAATGTCTACATCCAGGAAGAGGGATATTGTGACGCTTTGGCTTGAGTTCTTCAAACGCTTTTGTTTCAACAAGTTTTGAAGACAGCCTGACCCCTTTCACTAAAACCTCAAGATCTCTTTTGTCTTTAAAATAACCCAGCTCTATCGCAGGAGCTGCCAAAGGATTCAAGGACTTTAAATACACTCTTCCTTTACTCTTTGGTCGTAAAACCATAGGCATGATCATAAATCCATCTTGGCCTTTGATGGGCTTGTAAACTGAGTTGTAGATGTTATCCTTGATTCCGAAGTTTTCTTTGAGTGTGTCTTCTCCGGAGAGAGTCGCTGAGGTGAGTAAAAGTTCCAGATCTGGGTAGCCAGCAGGATCCCTAGGGTTCTTCAGGTCAATGAAAGCTAACGCCTCGGTTCCTCCGGGAATAGCAATGACTCCTTCACGATGTTTCATAAATCTATAAATCATATCAGGGTCGTCCATGATTCTTTCACTGATAATGGAAGAATTTGATTTGATCAGGAAAGTCATTCCACCCAGTGCAACATGATCCATGAGGTTATACCCCACAGGGAGGTTTACTAGACATTTCACCCCCATCTCTTCCAAGTGGTCTTTGGGACCTATTCCACTCAGCATCAGAAGCTGAGGGGAGTTTATTGCTCCTGCGGAGAGAATAACTTCTTTCCGAGCTAAAATTCGGTGCTTCTTTCCTCGCATGATAATCTCAACGCCCTCAGCGGTGTTGGTGTCTTTGTTAATCAGTATCTGAAAAAAAAATTGAAAACAAATATTTACTTTGACAAGACAAGTTTGTATATATAATTAGCACATTTAAAAATTGATTAGGTGGATTCCTTACATCCAAAATTAAAGCACACTTTTAGCAAATAATTTGAGGTAATTAAAAAATCACATTTCAGTTCAGTATTACCATTGACTTTTGTATACTGAAGCTCTAGTACCTTTTTAATTTCCTGTGTTAAATATGTCCTTTGTTGGATTGTAACAATATCATGTCACAAATTGATACTGGTTTTTGATATTGATATTGATTTCACAAATTATTTAAATCTATATATTTAAGTCCGTAAGCGAATCAGTCCCCATGAAATATCTTGATCTAGGTAAAAGGTAGCACGGCTGTTGAAGATTAATTTTAAAGCTCAAGGTCCAAAGATAGTGGGAAAAATATCAGAAGTGTCAAAAATAACCCCTGCTCTGCCCCACAGGCCGTCAAAGATTCAGTAATGTTCTAATGGAATTACTGCTACAGTGTTTCTATAAGCTGTTTTTTAAATATACCAGCTGATGTAAACATTGCGTATTTATTTGTTCTGTTTCAGGATAGAATGGCAATGCAGTGTGGATAGTGTTAGGGTGAACCGCGATTACAAAGGAGAGTATTTAGGAATGGTGCACAGCATAGAAAATGGTTAAGGGCAAATCACAATGGAGGTGAAGGGCAGCAATTGCAGCTATGGGCCCCTATAGTAATAGTTTATTCTGGTTGAAACAAAACACTCTTTTACTATGAGTGTTTCAAATTTAAAATGCTATAAATCTAGTACACAGATGAGGACTTACTTTTGTAACCATTGTAGATTTAAGGACATGAAGGTTCTTTCGGTTCCTGATGGGATGAAGGTAGGCTCTTGATGTACTCATTCTTGTTCCATTTTTCATTGTTACCTGTAGAAGAAAGTATATTGAGTGTGCTGTCAATTTTTTTTTACTCTCTCTTAGTTATTGATGATTACATCATTTATGTAATATAAAACAATGTTAGGAAATGTTCAAATACTTTTTAATGGTTCAAAACTGGGTTCCTTGTGTTTAGCCAGTGGTATTTGTATAGAATTCAGTCGATTCAAATGCTTTAATATCAAACCTCTCCTTGTAGGGCCGTCCGAATGCCCCAGGCGACGTGGCAGAGGGGGCGCCGCGAAGCGGCTACTATTGTATTAACGTAGTATTAAAATATGCGAATGCAATTATTACTGGGGGGGGGGGCGCCAAGACTACGTTCGCTACGGGCGCCACCAACCCTGGGGACAGCCCTATCTCCTTGATTGGGAAGAAGGTCTCTTATGGGTGGGGTCCGCACGGATCAATTTGACCTAGGTTCGCAAGCACCCTTTTTCTGCCACTAGAGGCTGCAATAAAACAATTGACCAATCAAAGTTTATCTTACCTGGTGGTAGGAGAACCCTTGCTGGTATTGACCATTGTAGTCGACTTGGTCGAACCCGAGCTCCTGGCCTGCTTCTACGAACGCTCGAGCTACGGCTGTCCGTGTAGGAATGTCAGTCACTGTCAAGTAGCCACCACGAGAATGATACCTCATGTCCATCTCCTCATTGACCTGTGTACAATCACTAGTTACACTTTTCACTTTCGGATACGTAAACAGCCCATTACATGGATCAGCTGAGCCATTATTCTAAAAGAACAAAGTAGACTGAGCCACTCACATTGCTGATGACGACATTCTATTTTCTCTCTTGGTTGTTGTTACCGTAACAGTTGATGTGACGCAACATGCTTCAGTTTACAATTAGTTGTTGTTTCAAATTAGTTTGGTTAGAAAGTAGGCACACTCTTATCAGTGGATCTATTGAACTATGCTCTTTAAGACAATAAGAGTTCAACAATTATTCAGATTATCCAGAAGTTCATAGGTTTTCATGTGGAGAGAACATTTTCAAAGTTTGCAACTCGTCAAATACACAATAGCAACATAAAAATGGAACATATGTACAAAAATGTAGATAGAGCTATCTTGATAATACTATGGTTTATTAGTCCACGTTGTTAGCAGACTCTGAGTCAATGAGTAGAATTTATTTCTTTTACAATAATACATAAAAACCTTATATAGTTTAACCCAAAATCACATCAGTCTACCTGAAGATCCTCCAGTTTCAAGAAGTACGGCATGACATCCCGGTAGCCCCAGCCTGGATTGCCAAGGTCTCTCCAGTGATCGTAGTCTCTGGGATGTCCTCGGTTGTATATCATGTAGTTCAACACAGACGATCCACCCATCACTTTGCCCCGGGGAATGTTGCATTGGTTCCTGTGAAGACCTGTGAATTACACACTCAATAGATTGTCAGGTTGAAACATGTATGAGTCAGTTGATCTTCTAAGTGTGATCATTGAATAACAGCTAGATAAAATTTTTTTTTAGTTTTTGTTTCGGTGCCACTACTTAAAATTTGTCAGTACTATTTTGTGCAAAATGAGTGTAGAATAGGGTTAAATTATTTGAGTAGCTTTGTCCCTGACTATAGTATGTATAATGGAAGCTGCCGTCTGATACTCTGTCTACCTGGGACTGTCCTACGCCTTTAACCATTGGTCAGTCTCCAGGTAGACGGAGGGCAAGAACACAGGTTTCATAATACAGACTATATATTCAGCTGTTTGTTAAGCCAGAGGTTGATTTTGTAAAAGCCTAATAATTAATGACAGCTGTTCCCAGTTTGATTTTTTTCAAACTAAAGCTACTGAAATTTATAGGACAAACCAACAGACTTTTGGTCGTAAGCTTAAGGTGAGCACTTCGTTGTTCACACATCTTTGTTCTAGAAGCAAACTTTTATCAAATTGTGGAGTGCAATATCCCGTCCCTTACAGCCCCAACATTATTAATTAGAGGCGGTTCCAAGGGGGTTTACAGGGGCTAAAACCTTCCCCATTGGACCCTGGAAAAATAAATGTATACATATATTTTGTCATAAAAATGTAACAGAGGTTTTTCAATGCAGTTCAAGGCGTTAAACATGGCATTAAAAAGTTACCCAACGGGTTAAAAACACGAATTTTTACCCCGGACCCCCTCCTTTCTTGGAGGTTCACTCTCCACCAAACCATCTCCCTCCCGTTAGACACTCCTTGACAAGATTGTAAAACCACCACTGATCCTTAATAGTCCTTGTGTTTGTTGCTCTTACTAGTGAGAGGGGATCACTACCCCTTCAGCAGTAAGGGATGTTTACAGTGAAATAAAATCTAAATTTGGAGGTGTTTTCAAGAATAACTTAACTGATCCTCACCTAAACAGTAGTTTTCTGAAGGTACGCTCTTGTATTTCCAGTTGGCATCTGTAAACTGAAACATGTTCGCAAGGATGGGAATGTCCATGAGAAAGCTTTCCTCTCTACCAGCCTCTATGAGGAGGACCTTCCAGTCCGCTACCTGAGATTACAAATGAAGACGATGAGTAAACAAAATACCCCCCTGTGCAGCAAACCTGCAAACTAAGCTAAATTCAATTTGTTTAATTGGATTCATACTAAAAATATTTCCATAAACATGACATATTTATTTCACATTTGAATAATATTAATTAGAACTCAGGCAAAAACAAAGATAAATCTAATATTATTCAAGTTCTAAAGACTGGGATGACAAAATAAACCACCTCAGTGAGCCTGTTGGCTATGACACAGCCCGCGCTGCCAGCTCCAACGATGATAAAGTCATAACTGCTGAGCGGACGAGGGACCGAGCGAGGCTCATTGCTGCTGTGTTGGTTAACATCTCCCACGAAGCTCATCAGCGCAGGAAACAACGGAGGATAGTCATCAGCAGCTGCACTCAGCAACAGTGCGGTGAACAAAAGTATCTGCATGCTCGAGCCTGTTGAAACATGCACGAACAAGTGTGGTCAGGTTATGTTCAATTATCTCATGTGGATCATGATGTCTCAGCAAAGTTGGGTTGTATTGAAATTATAAAAAAAAAGATTGGATTGATAGGGATAGAGAAAATATAACGATTTTCTCACTTTTGAGGTAAAAATGTTTCACTCGGATCTGAACACCTACTAAACATTTTGACATAAAAACATAGAATAAAAGCCTGTAAAGTGGAAAGCTGTCACAATCAGACGTACTGCTTTATCCCATCTCCTATTTGTTTAAAAAAATTTTTATTATATTAATGAAGTTATCTTTTTTCGCTCAATCATGCAATATCATAAATCATTATAATGCATAATTATTTATTTAAAATACTAATCACTACAAGAAGTATATGTGTGTTTACGTCTGGTAAAGCTAGAGCTAGAGTTATGTGTTTAAGTAGACTAAATGATCATAATTTATTTGAAAAAAAAATTACAGTGCATGTATATTTACTCTTTGGTAGTACAGTAATACTAAATGACAAGCGATATTCTACAAAACATTCAAACAATGCTAAAACACTTGCACAGTAAAGTGTTATACAATTTATTTAATTTTGCTAACAAAAACTTGTTAGCACAAAACAACCAAATAAACCAGTTTACATCTCCAACGGTTTATTCTAAACCAGTTAAGATTACTTGTTAATATTTTAGTTAAATCCCAGGTATATTACCTTAAAAACTTTTTTTTTAATTCTTCCTTAAAATTTTCCCTGCAATTATCAATGTATTTTTTTAACTTTGTATACTTTAGGAAAAATTAACCCAGTTATTGTCTTTCTATTTCAGGTGGATATTTCAATTGAATGGAGATACCAATATTTCCTTGACCCTAACCTTGGTTGTTGACTGGTCATTCCTTCTACGCTTGACACTAAATGTGATATCATGCAAATTTCAGCCTGGAACGTGACCCCAACTGGCAATGTCTGTGGGATGTTGTTCCTAAGCCTTACACTATTGTAGTAAGCTTGTGAAATTCAAATTTTTGAAAACATTAAGATGTTATCTTTGTATTTGCCATTCAGTAAAAATCTTTAAGATTCGTTAGAAGTCTGCATTTCAAAAATTAAATCTGTTCTTCCAAAAAGATTTTGTAAGAACAGCATGTTCGGGAATAGTGAAGTAGAAATATCTGGATCAGGTAATAGTCCTGGTACCGGTACCATTGTTCAATGATCCGTAAACTATTGATTTCACAGAGGTTTCAAAATAAGAAAATGATTAATAATGCAAGATTATACTTCAAGGAGAACATTATAGTTCACCATTATGTGTTAGGTTACATGAAGGACCTCCTGTATAAAAAACCGTCCAGCTATTAATCATAGATCTATAGTCTTAGAGACATAGTTATAGAGGAGATAGTTACCTTTGGAAGTGCATAGTAAGAATAAATACACTCTATTGTCTTCAGATGATTTATAAATGGATAAAATACCTATTGAACCTACTGCAGCCTTCATATAGCTGGTTCATGTATTTTGTGTTATTGGACTTTGTAGATTTTTAGGAATTTTGTTATCATTTACAGAGGTCATATAGTTTCTTAGGTTGATTAGTGGGTTTGTTTTATCTTTAACCAAATGGGCATTCACAAATTTTAAAAAACTACCTTAAATAAGAGCTAAAGAAACATTGTCATTATAATGCATCAACAAACACGATTTCGCCAATATGAAACATGCACAAAAAATAAAATTTTACTATACAAGAGGACCAGTTTGCAAACTACGCATTTGAAGAAAGTTTAAAACTTGTTTCCGAGGCAAACATAAAAATGCAATACCCTTACCTTTTAAAGATTATGTTTGTTTAAGACAATTATTACCAAAAACTAATAATTTACAATACTTAATTTAAATTAATAATATTGTAGATCTATACCATAAAGAGTAGTTTTCCGACCTCAATCAGGTTACAAATATAAAAAAGTAATTTGTTTAAAAAATTTAACTGAACGATTAGCTGTTCACATTCAACTTCACAATCTAAACCTTATAAAAAAAAGGTAAGTCAGCACTGAATCTTAGCAAACTCTAAAAATAAAATAAATCAAACACTATCCTATACCTTTTTAGTTTCCATTTGTCACTCTGCTAGATCATAAGCTTTAAAATGACATCTCAATTGTAAAAATCTGTTAAGCAGGATAGCTGAAAAATGGTATTAAGAATGTAGATGTGAAGACTACTAGACTATTTAAATTCAAAGACTTAATTTTGACAGCTTAGGAGAAAGTATTGTTTAACATAAACAGCTGATTCCTCAAAAACTAATCCTAGGATTTCAGAAACAGGTTAGAAAGCAGCAAGCACTATGAAGTTGTCATATCATTAACAACAAAAACAACAACAAATGTCATATTTCTGAAGTGGCTTTATCATATAGTTTACAAACATCAAACCAATCTAAATTTAGAGTATCGGTGGCCGAAATTCTTTTAGGTAAAATATTATACCAATTTTCAATTTTAGGACATAAAGACACTTACTCCTTATTTTTATTTTAAATAAAGGTTTAGATCAATAATTTGTACTTGCTATACAAGCTTTTGTAGAAGGCTACTCTGCCTTGTTTAATATGCCAAAACATTGTCTTTTAATTTTGTTTTAGTAAGCGAGTCATTCAAGGTTAATTAATTTCAAATAAATGGTGGAAAATTATTAACTGTGGCAAGAAACAAAAGTTGAATGTTTTGGTGTAAATCAAAGTATAAAAGCTACAATCGTGTGATTTTTATTTAAGAGACTTCTCTTGTATAGAGGCAATTCTCTGTACTAAGGAATGTGTTTTTTGTTTTCTTGACAGGCGAACCTATAAGGCAATAAGATCAATTTAAACCTTAAGAGCCACATGAAAGAAAATCTCTAGTACAAGTTAAGTGAGACGATTTCGGCCCAAGACCATTGTCCATTCCATCAGTGGGACATATATAACTTAACTCCATCACGGAAGTTTTGTAAATATTGTAAATATTTACATAATTATTCTTTTGACTGTTTATCCAATAAAAGTTGGTCTCAAGCAAAGGAGGAGGTAATGAGGTATATCTAAAAGGACTCTGAGCCACCAGGAGTTATCACAAAGCTAAAGAGACTTTGGTAACTGGCAGGATTTGAACCTAGGACTCCAGAGTCCCAGGTCTAACCACATTAAAATTAGCTGCCCCTTTTACAAATTTATAAGTAAAACCTGGCTACTTAAAACAGGTACAAGTTTCTAACATTGGTGGAACAAATATTTTTTAGAGAAACTATTTTGTAATTTTTTAGTTTAGATTTACAAATAATAGGTACAAGATTCCAAAAATTCAAAATGACGAATTTCCTACTATTCTTGATGTAAGTGGAAAATTTTATCATTCTACAAAAAGGCAAAGGGTGTTTAATTATACATTGACCATACTAGCAAGTTTATTTTTCAAGAGACTAAATAATATTTCATTACAATTTGTTCTGTTGCAACTTAACTTGTTAACTTGTTACAATTTGTGTTGTTGTAAGAGTGTAGGCCTACCAGTGGTATTTTTCTAGGCATGTAAATATATTATGAAACAGTAGATTATAAAATGTATAGATATTGTATCTAATTTGTATTATTCATTGAATTCTGTAATACTTTTTGGGTATGTAATTCATTGTAGCATGGGTGAGTTTAACATCAGTCAAACTCAGAAAATTAATAATACAGTAGCTTGTCAAGTTATGTATTTGATGATAACCACAAGATAAAAACTTATTTTAATTTTCTAAAAAAAGTTGATAAACCTTAAAACAATACACACAATATTAGAATTTTGTTTAATGAAAATCAACAATTAATTTAAAACTATAACAAAACACAATTTAATACCTCAAAACATAATAGTCCCATATCCAATGCAATTTTTATGTCAACCCTACTAAACAGAAAACAGCATTTTCATAATTTTCAAAGGGGCACTTATTTTTACATCATTAAATTCCTATTTCACAAAATTGCATGAGTTCAATTATGTTTAATTGATTAATGTACCTACACCTAACACTAAAATGTATTACAACTCTATCATGTAACAAAACATGAAGTTTATCTATATGTTAAATTACCATGATTGATTAACCTGAATAATGAAATACACACAGCACTCACCTCCGTGTGATGCGAAGGACGAAGTGGACAGCGTGCAACTGTCTGTATGGCTGTCTCCTCAAGGACTAAGGACATTACCGCCTAGTACCGTGGCCGTGCGTAGGTGAACGCCTGAACGAAGTGCGCTGGATAACCCGTCCATTAACCAGAAGGCCGCCAGTTCGATCCCAAAATGTCAGTAGCTTTTTGACGGTTCGAAACTGGACCTAGCTATCCTTGATTTATGGGGGTTTTAATTAATCCCTGGCTGAAAAAACAGCTGGTCAATAAAAAGTAACTCAAAGCATTTTCCCTCAAGTCTACAATCAGTCTGAATTCATTATTTAGCATCTCAAAATAAGTTGAGCACTTTAGATGCCTTTGCAAATTAATTGACAAGTTATGGATCCGGCTAGACAATTTTGAATGCACGGTTTTAGCGAATTTCCCTATAGGGAAGTAGCTATTACCGTAGGTGGCACGGTAAGACCTAGACTCGGGACCGATTTACTTTTTCATTTTGATGTCCCCAGAGGCCAAAAACACCATTCGTTCAAATTTTTATATATGTATATATATATATATAGAGATTTATATATATATATATATATATATATACGTCCGTGAACGCAATAACTTGAGTAATTTTTGTCCGATTTTGATGAAATTTGGTTTAAAGGTGTAAAGCGGGATAAACTTGAATGAGTTCGCGAACCAGCACGATCGGACCATGGGAACGGGGCTTTACGGGGGGTTTTATGGGGTAAAAATTGGTTTTTCTCACTTTTGACCCTCAAAACACAAAATTTACCAATTCATCTTTAGACCTTTTTAAAGAGCTTAAAAAAACAAATAATTTAGTATATAAAAGTATTTTTGTTCGATTATTAGTAACGGAGAAAATTTAAAAAATTGTAAATTAAAAATTCCCATGTTATTCTCATGGAGAATATTGTCAAATGTTGTAGTTTGCTTGTTTATGGATATATTTTGATCAAACTTAGCAAATTTATTTATTTTGTACTAAGCTATCAATATTTTACTCAAAAACACACTTTATTAGTTTCCTTGTAGCAGCAAACCTAGGTACTCGTTAAACCTTATGTTATTAAAATATATTTCACTGAAAATAAATTCAGACAAATGGAAATTCGCTTAGTCGGCAGGTTTGCTGCGGCGGGGGTATTTTGTTGAATGCACGGTTTTTTGTTGAATGCACGTTTTTTACAGTTTGATTCCCTTATTTTGTGTTAGTCGAAAAATATAAATTCCTTGTAAAATATGTTCTAAAGAGAAAATTAGTCGACATTCGGACACTCAAACATTACCAAAATGAAACACAGGCTTCAGATAATTGACTTTGAATATTTTAAGTAGACTTCTTATCCAGTTATGTGAGAAATGTTTTTACGTATCTTACATATTAACCTACCGTATATTGGTGACGTTTGATTGAGCTGATTATTGAATTATTTTCTTTTCTATTAGGCAGATTTTACAATTTTTGTTTTAGTCTTTATGGCAGAAAATAGATTATAAATATTTCGTTTTCTTTTGTTAAACTACTATTAAAAACTTAGTTGAACTTGAACACAGGAGTATCTATAAACAAGGAGTAACCAAAAGTCGTCTGCATATACACTGTCTTCAGCTGATCATAATGATGATGAATATAAGGGAGCGCGTGTTTAAATCTATTCTACAGATTTTCAATAGGATGTGAAATCTACTTGCTCTCACTATTCAAAGTCATGGTCTGAATAAGGTTGACCTCGGCGGCTCAAACAAAAGTCCTACCAAAAGATATATTGTCACATGTCACAAGCTTAGTGTTCAAAACGTTACATTTCCCGTTCATTGTTATTTGAACTTTGATTAATTAGCTGAAGAGTCAGCTGGCGTTTGTAGCAATACTATGCAGGGTGTCCCCGAACACCGAATTTTAAATTTAAAAGTCGTCACTCCTCGCCTAAAGACAAACTTTAATTTATGAATGCAAAATGCTGACTGAATGTACTACTTAAATAGCAAAAGTTCGTAAATTACAGTAAGTTAGTGAAACAAAAATACTCAAGTGAAAGATAAGTAAAATCAAGACTCACGTTCTACACACAGTCCGTTATGTCAAGTCACTGAGTTGGATCCCCACACAGGACAACACAATGATTAATAGATGTTTTGTTAAGGATAAGGAAACCCCGACTGATCCGGTACTGAATGGAACGTGTTTTCAGATCTACTCGTCCTCTGAGAGAGACAGTGGAGATTTTAGGTAAAAATTTTACTTCGGTCTTCGGTATATGACCATAGACCACGTCATTTAGCCGGCAAATGTTGGCCGACGTTAGGAAAATTTAACAATAGGTTACGTAAACTGAAACTACAAATTGCAAAAGCAAACACATACTTGTAAATACAGTTAGATACCTCATTTTTCGTGTTGAGGTACTTTATAATCTCTAAAGTACTGTATAAGATTTACTGGAGATAACCAATTAAAGTAGGCATTTTATATTATGTTATGTATTAAAAATTAAACGTAAACAGAAATTTTCAAAGGTAAACAAAATTAAATGTATTTATTCTATAACATGTGTTTCTACTTGTATGAATGCGATAAGTTAAGATCATTGATTCCTTTAAATAAGCGGGAAATTTATTATTCAATTTCAATGTCAATGATTTGGCCAACGGGAATGTTATGGGTATGATACGTCCTTGAGACCTCCGTCTAAGGTTAACGATTGTAGAGATAAACTCGGCCGTTGTCTCCATTTAAGCCTGAAGCGTCTTAACACCTTGTTTGTTTGTTTTAATTTTGTATTGAAATACATTCTGGTTATTGATATGCTAAGGAAATTACAAGCTGAAAATATAGATTAAACACAGTCCTTTATCTATTTATGATTTTCATGATAAACCAATAATACATTAAAAATTGCCTTCATTCATAAGAAAAGATAAATAAATCGTACATTAGGGTGGCTGTTAACAATCTATCTTTATCCTAGACAAAAACCAGGGAGCTCTATAAGTTTTATAATGAAGAGAATAATTAGGGAAACGTTTCACCAATTCGGTGCTCTACCTCTACCCTTGAAACGCAAACAACAGGGCCCTTTCTTTAGGCCTACATGCAGCCAGACAGATGAAAATCTAGTTTTGGTAAAACGGCAAAAATACGTAAAAAGCTAATTACATTATTCTGATCAATATCATACAGACAAAACTATATTTTAGCGAATTCCCCATAGTGAATCAGCTATTACCATAGTACTCATGGTAAGACCTGGACCTGGAACAAATTTACTTATAAATTTACCTTAGAGGCCAAAAACAACATCCGTTCAAAGTCATATATATATATATATTGTATATGTGTGTGTGTCCGTTAGCACGATAACTCAAGCAAAAAATATCAGATTTTTATGAAATTTGGTAAGCGTGTAAACCTGCGTGTAACCTACATTTATTCGAACGAGTTCACGAACCAGTATGTTCGGACTATGGGACAGGGGGTTATGGGGGTTTTATGGGGTAAAAATTGGTTTTTCCCATTTTTTACCCAAAAAACATAACATTTTGGAATTTATTTCCAAACCATTTTGTAGAGCTTAAAAAAATGATTTAGTATATTGAAGCTTTATTATGCGCTTAATGGTTCAAGAGAAAATTACAAAAAAATGTTAAGTTCCAAAAATGGAGAATAAGTGAACTGTTGCTTGTTTATCAACATATTTTGATCAATTTTGCGAAATGTATCTATTTAATACTAAACTATTAACATTTCACACAAAAAACACTTTTAACCCTCCCTGTTACAGCAACCTAAGTACTCATTAAACTAATGCATTTAAGTAGGGAATAAATGTGATATTTTTAACGAGATATTTTAGAGGAAATCCAATCAGGCGAATGGAAATTCATTTAGTCTGCAGGTTTGCTTCGGCAGGGGGAATTTATACAGATGCAATAGTATATTTCATCACTAGGGCGTAAAGAGACTCTTTTTGACCCTAGACCAAGTTTCAAGACCGAGGCGAAGCCAAGGTGGGAAAATAAGCGAGGGTTGAAAAGACATTTTTTGCCCGAGTGATGAACTATATTTTTCATCGTATTGCATCATTAAATATAAAAAAGTTAGAAAACAAAAATAATTTCCAAGTAAAGACCTCTTAAAACGACTTCCAACTTCGTTTCAATCCTGGTAACACAAATAAGCAGCTGTTTAATAAGCGGCTCGATTATTCCGTCAATTGCGATAGTGTTAGTGAACATAAAACTGTCCATATGTCGGGCTATTGAAAAAAAATTGAGCTAACAATAAGTTACAACTGATTAAATAAATCAAGTTCATAACAATAAGTTTACATCAGCTGATTTTTACTCCCTAGGGAGTAAGCAATGCATGTATAAAATACCCCCGCCACAGCAAACCTGCCGACTAAGCGAATTTCCATTTGTCTGAATTGATTTTCAGTTAAATATATTTTATAACATTAGGTTTAACGAGTACCTAGGTTTGCTGCTACAAGGAAACTAATAAAGTGTGTTTTTGAGTAAAATATTGATAGCTTAGTACAAAATAAATAAATTTGCCAAGTTTGATCAAAATATATCCATAAACAAGCAAACTACAACATTTGACAATGTTCCCCATAAGAATAACATGGGAATTTTAAATTTACAATTTACAATTTTTTTAATTTTCTCCGTTACTAATAATCGAACAAAAATACTTTTATATACTAAATTATTTGTTTTTTTAAGCTCTTTAAAAAGGTCTAAAGAGAAATCGGGAAATTTTGTGTTTTGAGGGTCAAAAGTGAGAAAAACCAATTTTTACCCCATAAAACCCCCCGTAACGCCCCGTTCCCATGGTCCGATTGTGCTGGTTCGCGAACTCATTCAAGTTTATCCCGCTTTACACCTTTAAACCAAATTTCATCAAAATCGGACAAAAATGACTCAAGTTATCGCGTTCACGGACGTATATATATATAAATCTATATATATATATATATATATATATATACATATATAAAAATTTGAACGAATAGTGTTTTTGGCCTCTGGGGACATCAAAATGAAAAAGTAAATCGGTCCCGGGTCTAGGTCTTACCGTGCCACCTACGGTAATAGCTACTTCCCTATAGG